TTATTTATCGGTTTAAAGGTTCAAAATTTTACAAGTTCCAAAATTATGAGTTCGGAGGTTTATTTATGAATACTCTTGAGAAGTCATTTTCTTTAATTTGCGTGTCAAATACCAGAAAATGAATAAGATTACTACTTATTTTCCAAAAAAATATTTTCTTAAAAAACCTTTTTTACGGAATACATTTTCCGTTATCCCAAACACACCCTAAGTTTTAAATCCGGCATTNTAGCCAATTTTTCCGTACAACATCAATTACGTTTCAGTCTCGAACAAATCCAAATCGAAACATCAATAAGGTGCAGGTGCAGGTGCAGGTGCAGGTGATGACATCTTCATCTTTTCTTGATGTATGTGTTTGTCATCGTCGCAATCATATGCACATTCGCAAAATGTAGAACCATCGCTTCGTATTTGACACGTTGCTACGTGAACATACGAGAAAGTTGCTTGAATGCATAGCTTCTTACATCGATCATTAAGAGTGCTGCAAATGTTAAAACCAATATCAACTACGCATACCTTTCCATATACCATTGGAACAATTCTCTCATCTGCATTCACAATAAAATCAAAATACTACAATTAGCAAGAAAAACATAATTAATCATTGTAATTATTGTAAAGCCAAGATATTGATCGAGTTGGGACCTGATGCAATAGCAACGAAGAGGACAACATAGAAAAGTGAAGTGAGGAACTTTACCATTTTCAAGTTTTGCTTCAAAGGTTACAATTGATCAAGAACTCTTGATTTGGCATTCCATTTTATACTTGTTTCTCTGTCAATAAGATCACTGCATTTTTGGTAGATTACTTTATATTAATTAGATTACTATATGTATGAGGATTATCTGGATTTGGCGTTTGATCACTAACCATATATGAATATAACAATGATCTATAACAATTGTATTTATTAATTATTTTACAAAGGAGTCTTAGCCTTTTGTACTTGTTTTGACAGGAAAAGATTAATAAGATTAATACTATATCTAGGAGGATTGACTGGATTTCGTATTTGCTGATTAATCATTAACCAATATAGAAATCTATAAATTAATGTAATAATTATAACTTTACAAAATAGTCTTACCCTTTTGTAACTTATTTTGACAGGAAAAGATTAATTAGTTTATTATATGTATGAGGACTAACTGGATTTCGTACATTATGAATAAATCATTTATGAATATAAGCATGATCTTTAAACAATAATAACTATTATTTACTTTACAAAGGAGTCCTAGCCTTTTATAACTTGTTTTGACATGAATAGTTCAAAATGTTAGCCCGTGAAATGTAGGATTTATTTCACGGGGTGTCATTCTACTAAATATTATTGCAACAAAATTATAAAATTATTTTTTTGTTTGTTGAAAATAATCGCTTTTAATTTTCCAAATGTCATGACCCGGAATCCCCACCATCGGGACCGTGATGACGTCTAACATCACACTTGTTAGGTAAGCCAACGTTAGAAACAAAAATGCACATCAAGTGTAGCACGAGTACAAAAATAACGTGTACCCAGTAAGTATCTCACCTAACCTCGAAGAGGTAATGACGAGAGGTCGACTTCGACACTTACTAGTGGTCCAATGATATCAAATACAGTAAAGAAGTGAATAAATATGAAGCAGAGTAGACATATTAAACAAACATGTATAAAATACGTGAAACAATTCCCTTCTTTACTACTATACTCAAGCTCTCAACTAGAATGTTCCCTCCGTAACCGGAACATATACATAAAGGTATAGTGGCTTTCATAATATGGTTGTTACAATTTCAAATCAGGGAAAGATCCTCAGGTACACTGGCTGCTAGCCAAATATTAAGCACGAGTCCCATAAGAATGATATATATATATATATATATATGTAGGAAATGCCAAGGCGTACGACCCGATCCAACATAAAAGTAAAATGTGCACTGCCATGGGTCGAACGCCGCGAATCATAGATGCATCTATTAACCTACCAAGGCGAACGACCCGCTCCCATGAAAGTGTGGTACATAAATCCTACCGAGGCGAACAGCCTGATCCCATAAGAGTAGTAGAAGGAAATACTCTGCTCGCGAATCATACGTGCGACGCGATAAAATATAATTTTAAGGAATCACCCCGCTCGCAGATCATATTTGCAACGCGGTCAAATATAAATTTAACATTAAAATCATATCTCTTTCTTGATTCTTTTCAAAATAAGGAAATTTAGCTTGTAGCTTTTTAAAGAAATTACCCCGCTTGCGAAACATACATGCGACGCGGTTACACATAGATTTCTTAAGCTATTATAATATTCCTTCAATTCATTTCAAAAATACGAAGTTCAAATAAAAACTTTTAATATCTCAAATTCCTCAATTTTAACTCTTTTCAAGAGAGTTACTAAGCAAACTCAATCTCGCTTCTTCTAAACACAAACAATAAACATAAATCAATAATAATATCAACAAGATATGGTGTAAACCTAAAACTACCCCGACATAAGCATAGCTAGTAGCTACATATGGACTCTCATCATCTCTTGCATATGTAGCCCCCACAAATAGAGGCACATATTAATTTGGTTCACCTATAGGGTTAATTCCCTCTTACAAGGTTAGAAAGGAGACTCACCTCGTTCCGAAGTTCCATAACCGGCATTCCACGCCCTTCCGAAGACTCAAATCAATGCAAAATGCTCAAAAACTAGCCAATAATTGTAAACCCATTAATATATGTTCAATTACTCATTATAGTCCAATTTATAACATTTCCTAACCCCGGTCGAGAAGTTGACAAAATTGCCCTCTGGCCCACGTGCACAGATTCCAAAATCGTGGTCAAAATCCAAAAAATCTCAATTTCTAGGTTTTTCTTTAAAAACCTCAAAGTTTCCTTTAGATTCTCATGAATTTTGATATTAAATCTAAGGTATAATCACAAAATATAATTAAAAAATGGTTAGAGGCACTTACCCAATGATTTTATACGAAATTCCTCTCTCAAAATCGCCCACTTTCGGACCTATGGTTCAAAATATGATAAAATGAAGCAAAAACCCAAGTTACATAGCTGAAAACAAGCTGTAGATGTCGCATTTACGATCTAGGATTCGTAGATGCGAACCCTCGCAAAAGCAAAGAAAGCCTTCGCAATTGCAAACAAGGAAGGGCTGGAAAAGGTCGCATTTGCGACAAAAAGTTTGCAATTGCGAACTGGGCATAGCAATTGCGATGGAAATGTTCGCAATTGTGACCACACCAGAACCAACAGTTTTTTCCCGACACAAAAATGAGCATAACTTCCTCATACGATGTCCAAATTTGATGATTCTTTCTACTATGACTCCGTAATTATGATACATATCTAATGTTTTAATAAAAACTAAATTTGGAGCTCATTTGCTTAATATGTTACCCTTTATTCCCAAAGAAACGATGTTGAAACTTCAAATAAGAGCGCAATACAACTCGAAACACACCCGAGGCCCCCGACACCCCGTCCAATCACACAATTCAGTCCCATAACATAATATGGACCTGCTCGAAGCCTCAAATTATGTCAAACAATGCTAAAACTATGAATTGCACTCCGATTCAAGCTTAATGAACTTTAAAATTTCAAACTTCTACTTTCGATGTTTAAACCTGATAAATCACGTCCGATTGACCTCAAATTTTGCACACAAGTTATATTCGACATTACGTACCTACTCCAACATTCGGAATTGGTATCCGACCCCGATATCAAAAAGTCCACTTCTGGTCAAACTTTTCAAAAACCTTCAAATTTCCAACTTTAGCCAAATGACTCCAAAATGACCCACGGACCTCTGAATTCACTTCCGACCGCGCTCCCAATACCAGAATCACCATACGGAGCTATTCCGAGACTCGAAATCCCAAATGGACATCGATAACACTGAAATGCACTTCAATCCAAACTTATGAATTTCTTCCAAAAATGCTAGCTTCCACAATAGGTGCCGAAACGTACCCGGATCTTCCACATACGCCCAAGTACGAAATCATTATACGAACCTGCTAGAACCTTCGAATCCCGATTTCGAGGTCATTAACTCAAAAATCCAATCTTAGTCAATTCTTTCAACTTAAAGCTTCCGAAATGAGAATTATCTCTCCAATTCAACTCCGAACTTCCCGGAATTCTATTCCGACAATACGCTAGAGCAAACCGATGAACGACACGCTAGAGCTCAAAATGACCGGTCGGGTTGTTGCATGTACTTGCTGACAATTTAGACACCGAGCTACTTATGCAACTATATCCTTCTTCATCCTCCTCCACCAATAATGCTAGCGCAAGTCTTGATACATTTTGGCGGTGCCTAGAAGAATACAATACAGGGAACTGTGGGCCTCCTCTAGAATCCACTCACGAAGTCCATCCACGTTAGGCACACAACACAACCCCGCATCCTTAAAACTCCATATTCTCCAACTGTAACCTTCTTGGCATCACCGTGCTGCACTGTGTCCCTAAGGACAAGCAAATGATGGTCATCATACTGCCGCTCCTTGATGCGCTCAAATAAAGAAGTCCGAGAGACTATGCAAGCTAAGACACGACTAGGCTCAAAAACATCCAACCTCATGAACTGATTGGCTAAGGCTTGAACATCTAATGCAATCGGTCTCTCACCGATTGGAATGTACGCAAGGATGCCCGTACTAGCTGACTTCTTACTCAAAGCATCGGTCACCGCATTGGCCTTCCCGGGATGTTACAAGATGGTGGTATCATAGTCTTTCAATAGCTCTAACCACCTCCTCTGCCTCAAATTGAGCTCATTTTTCTTGAACAAATATTGCAAACTTCCGATGATCCGTGAACACCTCACACGACACGCCATAAAGATAGTTCCTCCAAATCTTCAGCGCGTGAACAATGGCTGCCAGCTCCAACTCATGAACATGATAATTCTTCTTATGAACCTTCAGCTGTCGTGAAGCATATGCAATAACCTTGCCACCCTGTATCAATATCGCACCAAGTCCAATATGAGATGCGCCATAATATATTGTATAAGGCCTTGAACCTGTGGGCAACACCAACAATGGTGCCATAGTCAAAACTGTCTTAAGCTTTTGAAAGCTCGCCTCATACTCGTCTGGCTATCTGAACGAGGCACCCTTCTCGGTCAACCTGGTCAATTGGGCTGCTATGAATGAAAACCCCTACACAAGAATCAAGGGGCTCAGTCTACCTGAGGGAGTTACGGTGTGGACATCATTCTTTAGGACCCTCACCGCCAGCCAAATATAGTGGACACTAGGATGGTTGCCCGTTGACGAGGTCATCCATATGCCGACAGCTAGGACCCACTTTCTATTGATGGGGATCAAGAGCATTCAGCCTTACGCACCATATCGGGTTTTGAGACAACTCGGGAGATGCCAAACAGTGCCATGGGAGGAAGATCTTAGTGCTCAAGTAATTGAGATTAGCCCTGACGGACAGTTCCCTGAAGCAAGAATCCGTCAGATCTGGAGTGAATGCGAATATTTAAAAGCAGATACTTGCATGCAGTATCAGGCCAAAGGCGAAGTGGCGCCAGGATACCTTGCTTGGTACATGAGAGAACTTGAGTACGAAAGGCCGGCTAAAAGACCCCATCTCCAGGAATTCGTCAAGGCGTCGCAAGAACAGTGGGATTGGTTGGCTAAAGAAGAGAGTTACAGGCAGAAATAGGCAAGCTGAGG